TTTTTTTCTTTTTTTTATACTGTTTACAAAGACTGTTTTCTAGTTCATCCACAAAGTCTACTCATACAGTCTGCACCAATGGTTGCAGTCCCCTTGAGAACTTCAATGTACAACTAATAATCCTAGAGATAAAACGACCACCTCATGTTGATTTTGCATCTCTGGATATATGCAAGTGGCCGATGGTCTGTCTGGAAGATGAATTTCTTTCTGTAGTAGTAGTTCTGGAACTTTTGGAGAGCAAATATGATGGCCAGACACACTCGTTTGATCACAGTGGTAGTTCTTCTCACTACTCAACAGCTTTTACTTATGTACATAACTGGAAACAGTCCATCTTCATGTTCTTGTAGGAATACTGCTACAATTCTGTTGTCTGAAGCATTCATTTGAACGATGAATGGTTTGTTGAAGTCTGTCATTTTAAGGGTTGGCAAACTTCCTAACATATTCTTTAACTTCTGGAATGACATCTGCTGTGGTTGTTCCCACCTGACCCTGTTAGGTTGGCCTTTCTTTGTCAGGTCAATCAGTGGTGCAACAACTTCAGCGTAGTTTGGGATGAACTTCCTGTAGTATCCTGCTAACCCCAGGACGTCATCGGAGCTGGTGCATCTTGTATGCGAGTTACATTCCTTTTCATGGCTATCTGTCGGTCACCCATCTTATGTCCATCAAATTCCAGCACAGAATAGCCAAAGTAGCACCAAGATGGTCTGATTGTCAGATCTGCTGTTCTCACTCTTCTGAAAAACTCTCTACGTTTCTTCAGGTGGTCTTCCTATATGGCTGTGTGTCAGAATGTCGTCCACATAATGCTCGATGTTGATGGTTTTGTGCAACATCCTTCTCATCATGTCGTTGAGTGATACTGCTGAGTTAACTAACCCAAATGGCATTCTCTTAAATTGGTCACATCCATCTGGTGTCACAAATGCTGTCTTCTCTTTAGATCTTGTCTCCATCGGTATCTGCCAATAACCTTTACTGAGGTCGATCTTTGAAAAGAACTTGGCACCATCTAGTTTTGCCATGATAGCCTCTGAGTTGCCCATAAGTTTGGAGTCGAACTTTGTCACGAGGTCCAGCTTCCGGAAGTCTATGTAGATGCAGTTTGAGCCATCCCTCCTCTTCATGACTACCACTGGTGAACAGTAGGCTGAATTTGAAGGCTCGATGATTCCAGCTCCTAACATTGCCTTAACTTCCTGCTTGATCAGGTCTCTCATTGCATAGGGCTTCTGGTAGAGCTTCACCTTGACTGGATCCCTAGTCATGGTCTTGATCTTGTATTTCACAAGGTCTGTCTTCCCTGGTGTATCTGTGAAGACATCTGCATACTGACACAGAAGATCTTGAAGCTTTTTCTTCTGCTTGCCAGTCAGTCACAGATGTTGGTGTCTTTGTATGTCTCATCTCCACCCAGTGGTCTTACGTCTAATTGGTCTTTGTCTTCTGTGACAAAGTCACTATCTTCTGGTTCTGCATCTATGACAGCTACACCTGCCATGTCCATCTGTGCCTCAATAGCTGCACCCATAAGGCCTTCTTCCCTCTTAAAGTACCCCTTCAACAGATTGGTGCAGTAGATCTTGGGCTTCCCATCCACCTTCACTTTATAGTCCATTCTGTTGGCCACTTTCTGTACCTCAAAAGGTTCTTTCCACTGCATGGTGAGTTTGTTGTTGTCTGTCGGTAGTAGAACAAAGACCTTCTGTCCGACCTTGAAATGTTGATCCTTGGCCTTCTTGAGTTGCATACAAGCTCTCTCGATTCAGTTGACAGGTCTTTTCCAATCAGTTTCTGAAGTATAACACGTACTGGTATGTATTCCTCACTTCTGACTCTTCTTCTCCTGTCCACAACTCTTTCAATATCTGCATCAGACCTCGTACTGTTCTTCCTTACAGCAGTTGAAGGGTGAAAAACTTGTACTTGCTTATAGGACTTCTCATTAAGCAAATAATACTGCCTGCATGTACCTGTTCCAGTCATGTGGTCTCTTTTGGCACATGTTTTTCAGCATGCTCATTAAGACTCTATTGACTCTCTCACAAAGTCCATTACATCTAGGGTTGTACGGGGTGGTAAAGAGTTGGCTAGTACTGATGAGTATGCACACCTCCTACATCAGTAAACTGGGTCCCTCTGTCACTCAGGACTTCTCTCGGAAAGCCTACTCTGCAGAACACTTCCAGGAGAGCTTCTGGATAATGTGTTGCATAGTCGACTACTGTCTGCTCATACTTGTTGCCCTTGTCAGAAACAGGTGCTAGTGGTCTGATCAAGTCCACAGCTACTCTGCTGAATGTCTCTTCTATGAGAGGTATTGCATCCAGTGGGACCTTGGTTACCTACCCTCTAGATATTGTCCTTTGGCAGGTGTCAAATGACTTGCAGAATCTGGTTACATCTCTGATTACCCCTGGCCAATGGAAGTTGCTGGGGATTCTGTCTGCTGTTTTCTTTGCTCCTAGGTTTCTTCTACAATCAATTCATGAGCCAACTTCATCACTTGGGTTTGGTATTCTTTTGGTACTATGGTCTGTTTAACTTCCCCACTTTAACTACCTTGATAGATCTGGTACAGCACCCACTTACAGTCCTCTATTCTGCAAGTCTCTTTCCCCCGTCTTGTGCTCGACTTTCTCCCTGGCACTGTCCCAAGGTCCTTCTGTGGTGAAGGGTCTTTCTTCTGGGCTTCCTTCAGTTCCTGTAGACTTACATTCAGGATGTCACTTTTCAAGACTTGAAGTGGCTTGATGCCTTGTTTGCTCTTGTGGTGACTGCAGATGCTTTGTCAGTCAATTTTCTGTCTGGTTCCTCCAAACTTCTACTGCCTCGTATATTTCTAATCACTAAAATCATAGATGGGTGCCTTCATACACATAGTGTCATGGTCTCCCACTTAGTAGGGAGTGTCCACCTTTATTCTTGCTATGGGAAACTTTCTCACTGTCCCATCAATCAGCATACAAAGATGTACCTTGCCCAACATCTGATCATCAGATACAAGACTGGTTCTCACTGCTGCACTACTGTACCCAGTGTCTCATAAGACCTTCACTTTCTTGTCCCATGATGTAGCCTTCACATTCTGAAATGTTTAGATTTGTTGGCACCCCTTGATGTTTATCTCATGTTCCAATAATCACTGGTACTGTTTATTCATTTGCTAACTTATGCTGACTATCAGTCGTACACTGTTTAATCATGGAGATAGTACTTCCTTCTTGAGGTGAATTTAACAAGTTGTCTATTGAGTTTCTCCTGACAGCAACATCCATGGTGACAGTCACTCTTTTCTTCTGTCTTGCTAACACTGGCTTTATGGGTGGCTGCAGCTGCTTTCTGCTGTTGCTTGCTGGTGACAGACTTGCACTCACTCACAATGTACCCCGTTATATAACAAGCATAGCATCTCTTCTCCATTCTGTTTGTGACTTTTTGTGGAATCCTATTTCTGGTCAGCCACCTCCGGTTTCAACATTTAACTCGTTATTCTTGGAATTGCCAGTTATACTCCCTCCATTGGCTTCCATATACTGCTCTGCTAACTTGATCATCTTATCCACATCTTTTAGTGCTCTCTCCTTTAGGAACAATGACATGTCAGTTGAGCATGTGCTCATGAACTGTTCATGTATTAGTAGATCTGCCAGTCCCTCAAAACTATTTTCACACTTAGCCATGTCAGACCATCTTGTGATGTTTTGCTGTAGACATGCCACAAACTGAAATACAGGTTCTCCAGTATCAGGTTTGACTTCTCCAAACTTCTGACAAAAACCTTCTTCAGTAAGTTCATAGCATTTCAGTCAAGGCCACTTTAACTTGTTATAGTCCATCGTATCTTCTGATGTCATGCCTGCATACAATTGTAGATCTTTTCCTGTGAGAAGTGGGCTGAGATAAACTGCCCAGTTGCCTTTGTCCCAGTTCTGATTTTGGGTAAATCTTTCATATCTCTCCAAGAAAGCATATATATGTTGTCTTTCTGTTCATTAGATTTGGGCAACTTGGGTTGACTGGCCATGACCTCATTGTCATTCTTGTGTCCTTCACCTTTCTGTTGGATGAGCCATCTCAATTTGTGCTCTTATTCTATTTCTAGTCTCTCTCTTTCCTCTCATTTTCTTCTTTCTTTATTTGTTTTCTTCTCCTCTCTCCTCTGTTGATGCTCTTCTCTCCCTAGTTCTTGTTTCACAAACTCTCATAGATTATTTTTTAGCCCAAATAACTCACTGCTATCCATTTATCAAAATCAGTCAACATTGTTATATTTTTGCCACCACTACAATTGTGTATATATATAGGCCTATTTCTACTTTCATTCATATCTTCTTTTATTGTTGTTTACCACTGTATAATCTTGGCTTGCTCGCCAAATTTCAGGGCCAGATTCTTTACAGTAGGAGTCTGTAACTTGTTTGCGATAAATTTCAGCAGTAAACGGACAGCACACAAACCACTTGTTTTAAAATAATATATTCAAAACAAGTCAAACGTATGTACAAAACTTCATTACATTATTGGTTATCACAGTGTATCCAAAGCTTTAAATAATTGTCTCTTTTTTTGTCAAAGTCTACACAGGCTTTTTCTATTACTTTGGAACACCCTTTGACAAGACAAATTCTTCTTCTCTATATCTGTTATTACAATACACACTGTTAAACTCACTTTAGAAATTGCCACTATACACTGTGTATGGCTGAACTCAAAATCATGCAGTCTTAACTTTACTTTCACTAACTTACTTACTTACACTAATTTAGTCACCTATTGCCTGACTGAGACCTATAACTTTCTAAAATTACAAGATGTTATGATGTAACAATACTCACTTCAAACAACGAGAAATATTCAGAAAGTTTAGAGTAACATGATGTCAATTCACAACAATTGAACTACACAACAAACAATTTATAAAATGTTATGTAAGCAAACTTGCTGTTACTATTGCTTCTAAAAATAATACTTTAACATTTGCATAATATAAACTAAATAATGCTTTCCCATTAAACTTAAAACAAGTTGTGTATATCTAACTGGTTGTTTATTATTAAACACAAAGCTACACTATGGTCTTTCTGTGCTGTGCCCAGCAAGGATATCAAAACCCAGTTTTTAGCATTATAAGCCTTCAGACTTACTGCTTAGCCACTGGGGGGCTAATACATTCATAGTTATAGTATGTATAGTTTCATGGTCACTTGGTAATTG